AAAGGGGGAAAACCATGCCGGGGAGGCGGTTAAAGGCGCAAGGAAGGAAACCTTTTTCGCGGGGGCCCAGGAGACGCATGCATTCCCAAGCCCTAAAATTTTTGCAGGGCGAACCCTTGCTCCCTTTTTTTCTCCCCGGGGATTTCCCGAAAAAAGGGGGGACCCGGCCAAAAAGGCCTTCCCCCTCCCCCCCTCCGCGGGGGAAGCCACCCGGGGGACGGCGTGGGGTTTCTCACTCCCCCATTCCCTGTGGTCGCCCTTTTTTTGGGTCCTTTCCCTTGGGTCCCTCCCCACGGAGACACTTTCCCTCCCCCCCCAGAACGTTTCCCCCCGTTTTAGCACGTGTCCTGCCCCCGGATTGGAAAAAGTTCCTTGGGGGGGGGGGGGGGGTGCATTGCCCAAAGCCGATAAGGCCTAGTCTTCGCCCTGCAGGGAGGTGAACCACTGAGCACCCCAAAGAGCTGGCCCCACCAGGCAGAGCCGGAAACATCACAGAAGGAGCGTTAGAGCCGTGGCCTCATTATGCACATTTACCTACGAGCAGCATTATTACCCTCAAGGGAAAGCCCAGGGGAGGGACAGGGAGATGCGAATTCTGCCCAAAGAGGTGCCCAGGAAGGGTTTCTGTAGTAGAACAAAGCTTAGCTTTTCTTCTCCGCATGCAGAGCAGTTCCTTTTTATTCTACACGCCCCTCCCACCACCACCACCGTTTAATGTCGAAACCGAGTGGATGTAACTTCCCTAATGCAGTGCCTTCAGGAACATGAAAAGGCTGGTTTTATGGCGGCCCTGGGCCATAAAAGGATCCGGGATCAAGGGGGTTAAGGCCGGCGGGCGCTGGACCCAGGGCAGCGATTCCTTATATTGTACGGAGTCTTTCCTGCTGCCTGGCCTTTCATGTCGCTCCGAGCGGCTCTATCATGTGTGCTAAGTAAACACAGCTTTGTTTTCGTCTCCCACCCCCGCCCTCCCTCCCTTCCCTCCCTCCTTCCCTCCCTCCCTGCCAGCACAGCGGGGCTGGATGCCTTCCAATGCCTTCTGCAGCGGGCACCGCCTCCTCGCCTCCCCCCTCAGCACAGAACCGGGGTTTCTGGGGTGAGGCAATGCGTCTGCAATTCGCACAGACAAGGCCGTAATTGTGATTGTAGCTCATCATGTGATGGCTTATGAAAGAGGAAGTGGGTATGGTTGAGTCACGTAGGGTAGGTTCTGCCCTCCTGCTTGAGGCCCCAGGGCCTGGCAGGAGAGAATCCTGGTCATGTTTGCCATTCACAGTCAAGGTTGCCAGGGCGGCTGCAGCGAGCGAGCAAGCTCCCACCCGGTCCGGTCCTGCGCGGACAGGCAGGCCGAGGCCCCGCGCAGGGTGGCGGGGGCAGAGGGTGGAGATGGGCTTTTTACCCAGAAGGCTGAAACGCTGCGACTTGACTTAAACACTAAAGGAAATATCCTGCTGGGAGTCTAAGCAACAGCCCTTGCCAGCTCTGGTTTCTAAGATTTAAAAGCATGCAAACAGAAATCAGGGTGTACAAACAAAAGGAAAGCCATTCCGTGTGATCCCGACCAAGCAGGAGTCAGGGAAGTGACGGGAAGGGTAACCCAGAGGGAACAGCAGCTCAAAGGCAGGAACAGATCTGCCGGCCACACTCCGGTTTCCATGGGCTTCCCCTGTGTGAGCATTAGACGCCCAAGATCCAAACCTGCCTGGCCTGGCCGGTGTGGC